CACACACTGCGAAAAGCCGCGCCGAAGCAGGGCCCGCGGCCCATTTCCATGTGGGGTCTCCAACCAACATCAAACTGAGGGTCCTGCTACGGGTGAAGCATTTTGGCCCTGCGAGCTTCAGATATTGCTGCTGGGCGACGGCTAGCTGCGCGCTGTTGGGGCGCGTGACTTCGTGGCCGAGTGATGTTGCCGCGAAGATCCCTGTGTTGTAGAACTTCTTGGTGTCTCCTCCTGCCCTTCTGATAGCTCCCAGCCTCCTCATCCTCTTCTTGATCTGGTTCATCCTGGCGGTGGCGAGGCGGTCCTTTCTCCATCGGCACTGGGGGGCTCCCGCGGCGGTCTTGCAGCCGAGGTCGGGGCCAGAGATGTCCAGCGACGGACCTGCTCGGTCTCGAAGCTTGCGTTTGAGACCCTGTCCCAGCGCGGTGCAGGGGGCTGGCGTCTGCGTCTTGGCGGGAGCGACCGAATTGTCTAGATCCCGCTGGATGCACTGGATGAGGCCTCTCGACCTGCGGTCTGGCCTCATAATGACATCACTCATGTCGATCCAATGCGACTTTATGAGGAAATCATCGATGAACATGTGGAGGTCCAGATGAGGGTTCTGCTGGGACCAAGAGTCGATGGGGGCCTATGGTATGCACCTGTATGTTATACGCAACAAACCCACACCCCGCCGCTCCCACGTACTATGTTGCCGGCCGACGCGGCGAGGTCCTGAAGGGCGACGGACCTGGGGCTTGCGTCGATGCTGAGGGTGATCCGTAGTAGCGTAGTCGAGAACCAAGTGTCAAGCGACCTGGTGGCAAGCTTGCTGGGGTTAATATGCTCGTGGTAGTTGCTGTGCTGAGATCGTAGAGGACCATTCCATCGCGCAGTTGCTCGTAGCGCTTGCTGTAGCACTCGCAGTCCGAACTGTGCTTGAAGACTAGCTCGACTATAGAACGACCAGCTTGATGGGCCAAGAATGGGCGCCTCTGCTGCCTCTCCCATCCGCGAACCGCTGACTGACGGACGCGAGCCCAAACGTGATGTAGGCCTGACATCGCCCCAATCGAACTCATAGCGGGCTTCGTGGCTGAGGGGTCTTGCCGCTTGTGTTTCATGATGAGAGCCGAGATTCTGGCCTGTATCTGAGAGGGCACGAAACTGAACCTTTCAATGATCAGGAGCAGCTGGGCGATCAGGTCCGCCTGCTGCTCTGTAATCAGGGCGAGGTGCCCAGGGTGGACTCCGCCCCACGTGGAAGCAATGCTCGCGGCGATGCTTTTCGCGGCGTCTTGGAGAATATGACCCGTCATGGGTCCCAGGGCAACCCTGTCATGGATGCCCCTTGGAATTGGAGAAACTTGTGGTTTCGAGGCAGTGTCCCAGATATTCGCCAGCCGTTCTGCTTCCCCTTCGAAAGTGCCGCTGGGTCGCCCTGACCACTTGCCGCTGATAAAGGTGGTGGCAGGCTTCCAAGCGTCGAGGTTCTTTGTCCATCTGCGGGCCCAGCCGACGCCCCCCCCCCCCCCCCCCCCCCCCCCCGGAGTGAATTTTGGACCCGCGAAGCCCAGGATTTGGAAGCTTCCGAACAACTCTGCTTTCGCTCGTGCTCCATGTCCTTGTCGAGATCCTGGAGAATGGCGCCGATGGCGTGGTCGGCTGCGCCCGCGGATCGGACTCCGGCTGCGGCGCCTGCATGCAGCGGGTCGCATAGACCAGTGGCTGCTTCCACGCTGTCCTTCAGGCTCAAGGCAATGTGAAACTTTGCTGGTGGGTCCTGGATACTCGCGATCAGATGCACGACCTGCGACATGTCCTGCTTGCCGACGGCGAAGTTTATGTCGACGGGGCGGTTTCGAAGCCACCTGTGCGGGCTATGCAGGGATCTCCAACAGGTCCTGGTTCGATGTTCTGTCTGCTTGGCTCTGACCCGCTTGATTTCGATGGGGGCTTGCTCGAGGCGTCGACGAGTGCCGAAGCGGGGTGTCCGCGACGCTGCCGATCGACTTTCCGAGGTCGTGGACGACGGCGAAGTAGCAATAATCGAGGATCGACTGCTGCTGCGTTCCGAGAAGCTTGGCGGCATCGGTAAGCAGGGGCTTGGCGCGCTGTAGTGCGGCCTGGCTCTGCGCCCACTTGCTTCAACGAGGCTGGGGCCCTGTCGGCGCTGCTGAGGGTGGCCTCTGCGGCTTCTTCAGCACTGGAACCCGGCAATTGTTACTGCCTTGAACGTCTAGGCAGACTGGCCTGTGCGGCGACGGCGGATAGCGGGTCCACGTTTGGACCTTGTCAATCTTCTCACGCAAGGTTTCGCTGATCAGGAACAAATCCAAGATGCTCTGCGACCTTGGCTTTGGGCACGCAGGGGCCTCGGGGGCAACGGGGCGCAGCGAGGCCCTGTGGAGGAACTCTGTGATTTCGATCATCTTTGGGGGCAAGTTGAAGTCCCCGGCAACGATATTGGGGAGCTTGCTGAGCTCCTGCTGCACTGCTATGTTTGTTAACAGGCCCA